AATTAAACTACTTAATTAAGAATTGCACAAAAGTGAAGGCTAGATTAAAACCAGGTGAGAACAAAGAGAAATCGACAGAAGTGGCATTTACATTTAATCGCCGATCAAGTGGCTCGACGATTTGTCGGTCAACGTCACCTTGAAATCATCGGTGATTTCATCGCGACGTGCAAGATTCAGGCTGGATCATGCCAAGCGTATGGGACACCGATGGGCTTCAGCGCAGTTTATTTACGCGTGTTCTCACGACTTCGCCGTCGTGTACATCGCGACACGGGGGACGTCGCCGCGCGCGCGACGAGCGACGATCGATGTGAGCCACCTTCCTTCCCGTCCGTGACGGAGGCGCGTGAGAGCCGAGCGAGAGAAACGGGAGTCAGGATTATCCGAGAGGATATATCCGTGTATCCGGTCTCACGGTGACGATACGATCGATATCGTCGCCCGGACGAGGTGACGGAGTCGCCTGTGTCCGAGAGACGGCATCGGAGCGGTCCGGCGACGTCGGTTTACTCACTTTTGGGTATTCGCCAGCAACGTCTGACGGCAAACCAGGCCCAACATCTTTCGGCGGAGAGACGGGGACGGCGGGTGGCGAGAAAGAGCGAGCGAGCGAGCGAGCGAGCGAGCGAGCGAGAGCCAGGAAGGGCGGGAGGAAGGGAGAGAGAAAAGGAGAGGTGTATAAAGAAAGAGGGATAATGTGGTGGATATCCTTTGTCTCACAGCGCGAACCGAAGGGCTGACGAGATGGCTCTCCTCGACTGACAGACGTCCCGGACGTTCGACGCGATGATCGGAATCTCTTCTCCTCGCGCGCCCGGTGCGCCGAATTGCCGAAACTGCGACGGAAAGCCGTGACGCGAACACCGCGGCCGTCGGACGAACCGCGCTACGCACCGGGTTCCCCACCTCTCGCGAGAGCGCCCAGGGCCGTACGATGACGACCATCTGGAGCGGCGACGCGGAAGGGAGAGGGAGGACGGAGTCGGCAAACATCCAAGTAGTTTCGAGAAAAGTCTTGCTGAATCGGAAATTCATCTGGGAGACGAGAAGAAAAGTTTTTCTCAGCGTATCTCCTCCACTCATTTTTCGTATAGATATTAATACTGATTTATCGCGATATTACTTTTTTTTTATCACCGTTGTTATTTACAGGCTTAATCTACACTTGATTGTCGAGCCATCGACGGTGGAGATTATTTTCCCTTTTCCTAAATCGTTAATTTAAAAAAGTTACTCTTCTTCGCTCCCGTCATTTTTCAAATCACGTTTAATTTTGTTTTCCTTTTGCGACGTTCTACTCAATTCACTAATCGCGTTATGTAATATCTTCTCTTTAAAATA